AGAGATTGTAAATTTCATATTAATGCATTATACTTCGCAATTTAATACTTCCGTTATGTATTTAGCAAATTCCGGCCATTCACTTGGTCAAACTAGTACCACACTTAATTAATTGAATTTTTTGTAATTTAATTAATCTATACCAATTTAATTAATAAGCCTAATTTATTTATTAAAATTAAGCATGCATTTAATTTGTTTTAGATATTATATAACAAACATAATTAATTTAATTTTGTATTTGGTTATTCTACATAACTTAACAAAATCACGAACGAACAAAAAGACATAAATATCCACCCAATCTCATTTACTAAAGGTAATAACACTGGAGTCCAAGTCCTGGACTCCTTCCTATAGGGATAATTTAGTCATTTTGGCGATGGGATTGGATTTGTAACTTGAACTTTTTTTTTTTTTTGTGAAGAGGGGAGTCGGATTTGTTTATAAATAGATTTTCATCTTTATTTTAAGTACCTTTAGAATGATTTTCGATTTTCAGTCCATATTTTACATTTCATCATAATTTATTAGAGATTGTAAATTTCATATTAATGTGTTATACTTCGGCAATTTAATACTTCCATTATGTATTTAGCAAATTCCGCCATTCACTTGGTCAAACTAGTACCACACTTAATTAATTTAATTTTCGATAATTTAATTAATATATGCTAATTTAATTAATAAGCCTAATTTATTTATTAAAATTAAGCATACATTTAATTTTTTAGATATTATATAACAAACATAATTAATATAATTTTGTATTTGGTTATTCTACATAACTTAACAAAAATCGGTCGAACGAACGAAAAGACATAAATATCCACCCAATCTCATTTACTAAAGGTAATAATACTGGAGTCCAAGTCCTAGATCGCTCGTCTGTCAGTAATTTAGTCATTTTGGCGTTTGGATTGGATTTGTAACTTGATTTTTTTTTGTGTGAAGAGGGGATCGATTTGTTGATAAACAGATTTACATCTTTATTTTAAGTACCTTTAGAATGATTTTCGATTTTCAGTCCATATTTTACATTTCATTATAATTTATTAGAGATTGTAAATTTCATATTAATGCATTATACTTGGCAATTTAATACTTCCGTTATGTATTTAGCAAATTCCGGCCATTCACTTGGTCAAACTAGTACCACACTTAATTAATTGAATTTTTTGTAATTTAATTAATCTATACCAATTTAATTAATAAGCCTAATTTATTTATTAAAATTAAGCATGCATTTAATTTGTTTTAGATATTATATAACAAACATAATTAATTTAATTTTGTATTTGGTTATTCTACATAACTTAACAAAAATCATCGAACGAACAAAAAGACATAAATATCCACCCAATCTCATTTACTAAAGGTAATAATACCGAGTCCAAGTTCGGACTCCTTCCTATAGGGATAATTTAGTCATTTTGGCGATGGGATTGGATTTGTAACTTGAACTTTTTTTTTTTTGTGAAGAGGGGATCGGATTTGTTTATAAATAGATTTTCATCTTTATTTTAAGTACCTTTAGAATGATTTTCGATTTTCATCCATATTTTACATTTCATCATAATTTATTAGAGATTGTAAATTTCATATTAATGTGTTATACTTGCAATTTAATACTTCCATTATGTATTTAGCAAATTCCGCCATTCACTTGGTCAAACTAGTACCACACTTAATTAATTTAATTTTCGATAATTTAATTAATATATGCTAATTTAATTAATAAGCCTAATTTATTTATTAAAATTAAGCATACATTTAATTTTTTAGATATTATATAACAAACATAATTAATATAATTTTGTATTTGGTTATTCTACATAACTTAACAAAAATCATCGAACGAACGAAAAGACATAAATATCCACCCAATCTCATTTACTAAAGGTAATAATACTGGAGTCCAAGTCCTAGATCTTTGCTGTCAGTGGTAATTTAGTCATTTTGGCGTTTGGATTGGATTTGTAACTTGATTTTTTTTTGTGTGAAGAGGGGATCGATTTGTTGATAAACAGATTTACATCTTTATTTTAAGTACCTTTAGAATGATTTTCGATTTTCATCCATATTTTACATTTCATTATAATTTATTAGAGATTGTAAATTTCATATTAATGCATTATACTTGCAATTTAATACTTCCGTTATGTATTTAGCAAATTCCGGCCATTCACTTGGTCAAACTAGTACCACACTTAATTAATTGAATTTTTTGTAATTTAATTAATCTATACCAATTTAATTAATAAGCCTAATTTATTTATTAAAATTAAGCATGCATTTAATTTGTTTTAGATATTATATAACAAACATAATTAATTTAATTTTGTATTTGGTTATTCTACATAACTTAACAAAAATCACGAACGAACAAAAGACATAAATATCCACCCAATCTCATTTACTAAAGGTAATAATACTGAGTCCAAGTCCTGACTCCTTCCTATAGGGATAATTTAGTCATTTTGGCGATGGGATTGGATTTGTAACTTGAACTTTTTTTTTTTTGTGAAGAGGGGGATCGGATTTGTTTATAAATAGATTTTCATCTTTATTTTAAGTACCTTTAGAATGATTTTCGATTTTCAGTCCATATTTTACATTTCATCATAATTTATTAGAGATTGTAAATTTCATATTAATGTGTTATACTTCGGCAATTTAATACTTCCATTATGTATTTAGCAAATTCCGGCCATTCACTTGGTCAAACTAGTACCACACTTAATTAATTTAATTTTCTGATAATTTAATTAATATATGCTAATTTAATTAATAAGCCTAATTTATTTATTAAAATTAAGCATACATTTAATTTTTTTAGATATTATATAACAAACATAATTAATATAATTTTGTATTTGGTTATTCTACATAACTTAACAAAAATCAGTCGAACGAACGAAAAGACATAAATATCCAGTCCAATCTCATTTACTAAAGGTAATAATACTGGAGTCCAAGTCCTAGACTGCTGCCTGTCAGGGTAATTTAGTCATTTTGGCGTTTGGATTGGATTTGTAACTTGATTTTTTTTTTTGTGTGAAGAGGGGGATCAGATTTGTTGATAAACAGATTTACATCTTTATTTTAAGTACCTTTAGAATGATTTTCGATTTTCAGTCCATATTTTACATTTCATTATAATTTATTAGAGATTGTAAATTTCATATTAATGCATTATACTTCGGCAATTTAATACTTCCGTTATGTATTTAGCAAATTCCGGCCATTCACTTGGTCAAACTAGTACCACACTTAATTAATTGAATTTTTTTGTAATTTAATTAATATATACCAATTTAATTAATAAGCCTAATTTATTTATTAAAATTAAGCATGCATTTAATTTGTTTTAGATATTATATAACAAACATAATTAATTTAATTTTGTATTTGGTTATTCTACATAACTTAACAAAAATCAGTCGAACGAACAAAAAGACATAAATATCCAGTCCAATCTCATTTACTAAAGGTAATAATACTGGAGTCCAAGTCCTGAACTCCTTCCTATAGGGATAATTTAGTCATTTTGGCGATGGGATTGGATTTGTAACTTGAACTTTTTTTTTGTGTGTGAAGAGGGGGATCGGATTTGGGTCATTCTGCTGATTAAAATCCGATTTTTTCATATCGGGTTTAAATCTATATCCGATCCCAATCATAGGATTGACTACGTAATTGAGTAGGTGGACAATGGATTGAATTCATAGCTGGAGTTTGGCGATTTAGCCGACTTTGCCGATTCCGTCGACGGTGCGGCTCGTAGTTGGGTTCACAAATTCTTATATTGGATTTCAAACTACCAAATCTCTCTCATTCGACTTCAAGTATTAGAAAATTTAGGGCAAAGCGATCTCAGGCTGTCGGTGACGGTGTGGTCACGCTCGTTTTCACTTTCAGAGCCTTTTTTCGGCAGCATCAAGCTTAAATATCTTAGGGTATTTTTCTGCGAATTTCCTCATTGGACTTTTAAATTTTGATATTTTATCCGGAAAAAACTGTTGACCTATAGTTGTAGTTGCTTGTTTCACCATCATTTCATTTATTGGTTTTTATTTGTCGGATCTTTATGTGTTTGCAATTGGAAATTGTATTTGGGTAGTATGTGCATATCTGGTTTTGAGTTCCAGTTGTATTTGGCTTTTTCTTTTTTTTCCTGTAATGGTTTTGTGTGTGCTAAGACGCGAAAATGCAATTTTTGGGATGTTGAATTGGTCAGGTGAACCATTTTGGACTAGCTTTTGTTTTTTATTTTTCTTTAGGAATATCAATTTGGAATTAAGGAAGCTGAATTGAAACGTTAAAAGACATGAAAAAATGTGGTTTTTGGAAATGAAAATTAGAAGTGTGGTGAGCAGTAGACTGCTAAAGCTTTTTGGGAAATAGGTCTTGTATCTGTCACATAATCAATGTAGTTGCTTATCGGTATTGCTTATCGGTATGTCCATTTTGATTGTTCAATTGTGAGCTTTTTCTTGTTTTATTGTTTTAATGTATTTGGGGTTCAGATCATGGAATGATGAGATATTTCTGAGGTGAATTGCAGAATAATACATACTGTTTACAACTTGGGCTGTCAGATGGGTTGTTATTGTTGATTTTATTAAATACGATTAAGATGATTCACTGCCTTTTTTTTTTGGTTATGATTTGGATTAGGTAGCGGTTCCAATACTCGTTCTGCAAAATTTTTGATTATCGAATTTGCTTAGAGTCAGTATGTATCCGACAGAGATAAAAGGCAAGCCATTGTATCTGGTTTAACTGGAAGTGTTGTTCAGCTCGATTTCTCCCCTTCACTTTTTGGTCAATTGAGAAGAATTATCTGTGTGTTTACTTTTTGGTCAATGGAAAAAAATTATCTGTATGTTTACTTGAATTCCCTTACTGTGTATAATAATGATAATGATTGTTGGATAATGAGAGAATATGCTGTCAAGAGTTCTTGGACCAAACTATTCACAATTAGAGGACTAGTAATGCCTCTCCCCATCAGGATTCCTGATAACCTTGTTTTGGTTTTAAGGAAAGATCGTTTATATTCACACAACTTAAGCAAGAAGAACTACTTCAAAGTGATTAAGGGAAAGACTGCCCTATTTGAAGAAAAGAATTACAACTTCAGGCCTGAGGCTAGTGAAGAAGCTAAACGATACTACTTGAGAGGCAATGTCAGGGAAAAAGTTAATTCAAGAGCCAATGCTAGGGGAAAGATTAACTCAGAACCAGTTATCATGTGCATTTATGATGGTCCTCTTGTGTATACAGAGAGTTTGGCATCCATTGATTTGATATAGCAGGAATGAACTTACGCTATCAGCTGTTTGAACATTTTACCAGTGGTTTAGTCCTTGTGTAATCATATTCCTGTAGTATTTTTCTTGAGTGGATTGTTATTATCATGTATGATAATTACTTGTTTTTTATTCAGGTGTATTTGCAGATGAGTCAAATTGACAATGTTTCTCAATCGCATTTTCTGTCAGATTATCAAGACGAAGATTTATTGCTCTGATAGGAGAAAACTGATTTTACTCCCAGCAGCACTGCTAATAGAATTCTTCTGCTGTTTTAAGGAAAATGAAGGATGCTTTGCTGCTTCTAACAGAAAGTTGGATCAAATATGCAATCTTATTGGGGTTTCCCCTCTGTTAAGCATCTAGGAATTTATTTTCAGTTGTTCTGGAACGTCGTTTCTGACTTGATTGATGTAGTGAAAATGCTTTCTCTCAGAGCAAATTGTTGTAAATGAAGCAAATTTTACTTTAAAAAATTCAAGAAACCTTTTGTTTATTTAGAATAACGAATCACTCACTTCATGCTGTATGCAATATCTATAAAGCCCGTAGCAGTAAGTTTTAAATATCACACAAACATGCCTCAGCTATGATTTGTCGATGTTTTATCACTTTAATGCATGCTGGCATCCAAAGCATGCAAAACTGAAAGCAAATGTCTCATGAAGCTGAAAAATCTTACACGAATTAAATATGCACTATCCAAGTTATAAAATATCAGCATCAAACTCCAGAAACTAATAGAGCAAAACGTCAGCTGAGTTCATTTTTTAAGTAAGAGCTCAGGATTCCTTTCCTTAATAACTGATTTCTAGAGCAGCATTTAGTATTTTATTTTTCTGCAGACTTTAGTGAAAGAACTATAGAAACATTTGGATGAGCATCTGTGGAAGCAGATTGAAAGTATGAGATATACAATGTAAAAGCCAAGGTCATATTCAAAATACATTTTTCATCAAACCACAAATCCAATTCGTGAGCCATTAGAACCGTTATAAACTAGGATGAACAAAGAATAGCTTCATGTAAGGAATTTAAGAAAAGAAGTTCAAACTTCAGGAGGAAAATGCTCCCTAAAACAGAACATCAGAACTGAAGTTCATAAATTTCATATCCTCTATCAAGTTCAAATCTAATTTTCGGGCAATCTATAGCTCTAGTTTACAATCCGTAATTTTGTAGTAAACTCCAATAAACATAGAGAGTATTCACCAAAAAAAGTCTCACAAAACAATTCAAGAAAGAAGAGAAACGATTCTCTGAAAACAGCATCGTAGGAGAGATTTTCATAAAGTGGTTATCATGTTCAAATCAAGTTTTTGGTCAAACTACGAATGCATTTTACAATACGTAAACAATGCATTAAACTACACTAAATGAAGAAGATTATCATAAAAACAAATTCTGGAAAATAGTTCTAAAGCTATGAGAAACAGACCCTTCAATAGAAGAGCCCAATCTGATTTTCTGCATTTTCAGAAAGCAACCAGTGCACTCATCTTGTTTTGATCAAATTTTGAACGATCCGTAAAGCCGTGTAGCAAACCATAAAACTCAAAACAGACCTGAGTACCCCGGATAGAGTTTGATTGAAAGATATGTACAAGGACCATAAAACATGATAATCGGCACCTCACAGCTTCCACAGTTGCTTAAAACATGAAAACGGCAGTGGCATGCATTATCAGGGACAACAAGAGAAGATTTTTGAAAACCTTTCAAGAGAGAATAGGCTATTCCCTTGTTTAAAGGGCTGAACTAAAAGAAATTCTACAGAGCATGAGAATTGCTAAGCAGTTAGGCTTATTAATAGGCTTATTAATAGAAAAAAAAAAGGCACTGGAAAGTGGCAAACAACTTTTCCGATAGTTAAGTAAATAGTTTTTGATGTGTCAATTTTAACAAATAATTTTTAAACATTTTTATCCGGTAAACAACCTGCTTAATAGATTTTACTTAATTTTTTAAAAAATTTATTTTAATAAAATTTATTTTGAGATATGTTAGCATGTTACTCACCACATGAATTAATTTTGTACCCTCAATTCTGATTGGTTGAAAAAAATACGGGACGGTTCCGTATAAATGAGCTACGGGACTCTATATATATATATATATATATATATATATATATATATATATCTGATAGTTGTCAATAGCGTCAACTTGATAGTTGACCTTTCTAATCGACAACAAAGTCGACAAACAGAGGGTTGTAAAAGTTTGTCAATAGCGTCAACTTGATAGTTGACCTTTCTAATCGACAACAAAGTCGACAAAAGAAACTTGCAAAGTTTTTATTTTTAATTTTTTTTAAAAGTTAATTAAAAGTAAACTAAATTTGTATCCAGCGTACACAACCTCAGTGCAAATATTAGAACAACTATTAGAACTATAACCTATTCATATTAGAACTACCAAAACAACATTATGCAATACAAGAAGAGGAAAGCGACATAAAAACAAATCCAATGTGTGTATCTTGCTAAACCTAAGCCATGAATCAGAAAAATCACATCAAAAGTATCTGCCTATCATGTGTTGTTCATGCAAGGTAAAACATGGACCTCCACCATGAATGGTGACTAGTCCTAATTATATGGCGCACTAAAAGGCCGGCCCATGTTCGGTTCATAATTACTTTCCTACCAAGAAAGGGTTTCATAACCTATCTCTATAAATAACATCAACCCCTCATATCAAAGGTACGGTCTATGCACCCCAATTTCATACCTCTCTTACGATTACTCTTACTGACTTAAGCATCAGAGAGTCTATCCTCGGGAGACCCCGAGGTTCTGTCTTGCAGGTTTTAGGGTTTCATAGCCTCCATGGCCACCGGTTCAATCAATTGGAGACGTCGGCGTGAATCCATACTTCGTCAAGTGACACGCCCAGAGGGACCCCTAGGGTTCTTCATCCTAAAACAATTTTTTCTGACGAAGCGGCATCCAGAATTCAACGTCTCCTTTTATGGCGTCCAGGTTTTCCGTTTTTATTAATACTGCCTTGGGCATAATCTGTTGCATGGATTACTTGCAATCTACTTGATATGTGATTCGCGCGATATTATGCTTTCGAGGTTTTCCTACGACTTGCTCGGACAAGGAGCAAAATCTTAAAATCCCCCACCAACTAATAAGTTTAATTAATTGCTTCTTGATTGAATTTTGCATGCCTATGGTGGAGATGTAATTTTCATGTTATAATAATTAGTCAAGCATTAACCTTCAAAACCTCATGGTTTTTTTGGGTGGGTTTGCTCTACAAACTCATGGCCTCTTTATTTTTTGGAGTTTCTACCACCGCAAAGTAAGTTCCAGTTTGATTCTTTTAGCATGATTTAAACAAATCACGTGTATGCTTGATATCCCAGTTATGATACAAACGGTTGATATCAAGGTGGAACTTGTCTTAATCTTCTAACCTTTTGGGTATATAAGTCATACACTCAGCTAGAACCCATGATAGATCTATATAGTCAAACAAACTCTACACATTGTTTTATATAGATGATCAAAGTCCCAATGAAGGATTAACGGTGTTAGAATAAATACATGATTTGCCAAGAACAAGGGAGGAAAAGATGTTTATAAGCTTGTGCTCAATAAACTATCCCACCACATGATAATTATTATTAAAATACCTCAAAAGTCATGATGATCTTTAATTCTTTTTGGGGTATACATGAGCCTTAGATATTAATGTGCAAGCATTCGAGAGAGTTTTAGATTAAGTTGTCCGAAAACTTAATCTCCATAAATTAAATATTAATAATAATATGGCCTACTTAACAGTTGGCTTAATCTCCATAAAACATTATCTACGAGGTACGATAACCTGCCTGGACTTGGCATAGTTGTATTACTTGATTTTGCAGGTCTTACAATAAGATATTTTGAGTAGCATCCTTCTCGAAGTATGAAGCGACCCATTCTAAGGGGCAATGATCTGACCGAAAAGAAAGATAAGTGTTATTGTCTCCTAGACATTTACATGCTCTATGGCCATTATCTCCTCGAAAAAATAGCATATCATTTGCATAAAGAGTATATCAGTGACTGATTTAATGTCTCAAATCACATAGACTACAAATCAAATCGTTAACCTATTTTCTATACATTCTACGTGTGAATCTGCTAGCTTTTGTAACTATTACCTAGTCTTGACACGCATCAATTCTTAAGATAAAATCATAGAGCCATGACATCTATGCTTTCTCGAATAGAGAATAATTGCTATTTGTGATCTAGATCTTGACCATAGCACATTATGTCAATGGCCTCCACATCTCTTGAAAAGTTGTTACTGTATGATTTTGAGAATAGTTATGCAGGGCCTTGTACTGCAAAGGCATGCTCGAGTTTTGGGAGAACCCCTTCATGTTCTTGCAGAACTTGCAGAAAATCAAGAACGAAGATAGTCCCTCCATGATACAAGAGTATACTCAGGCCAAAGTAGCCTCGAACAAATGAAGCACCGATACACGGTGCATGTCAAGAATGAGCTCCGACAACAATGATGAGGAGTTCATTGAAAAGTGGATATTACTATTCTGACCCGTGGATACCCCTGGAAGAGTCCCAATAGATAAGTGATACGATCTCCGTATAACTGCTTCAGTATATGAACATCTGCATTATAACATGAATGTTAGGATAGTTCATAAGCATGAAGTAATTGTTCTTGCACTCATATTATGACACATTACACATACGTGTTTCTTGGACCTCTTCAGTGTCCTCGAACTTTCACATGTAAACTGCTTGCACGAAAATTCTTTCTCAGAGGCATGACTTATTACTTGCATCATCGCATGTTAGTCATGAAGCATGGTGCCACAGCTTCTATAAATATCTGGCTTTGTTTACTTTCCACAAAGTCATGTTCATTTCCTTTCTTTTGAAAGGGGGTAGATCCCCCTCTCTTACTTATAGTTGTCGGAATATGCTCTAAAGGTCATAGTGCAGGATGGTTCCTCTTCCTTGACCCTTGAGTCG